ACTCGTTCGTGGCGCTGATCACCATGGCCATCCGGGCCAGCCCCGGGCAGCGGCTGTCCCTGAGCGGCATCTACGCCTACATCGCGGAGCGCTTCCCCTTCTACCGCGGCTCCGGCGGGCAGTGGCAGAACAGCGTCCGCCACAACCTCAGCCTCAACCGCTGCTTCCGACGGCTGCCGTGCCGCCAGGGCCGCGCCGGCGAGTGGGCGCTGGACCCCGCTTTCCCGGACATGTTCCCGGGGGGGAATTACCGCCGCCGCCGCCGCCGCCGCCCGTCCGCATCGCCCCCGCCGCCCTCCGAGACCCCCTCTGGCTCCGGGACCCCGCCGGGCCCCGCCGAGCCCCCGCAGCTCCCCGAGATCCGCCCGGGCTCCGCCGCTCTGTGGCCGCCGCCGGCGCGCCCGGTGCCCTCGGGCTGGCCGCAGGAGCCCTGGCCAGCGCTGGTGCTGCCCCGCCGGTACCCGGAGCTGCCGGCCCGGGGCCCGCCCGTGCCCCCGGGGCCGCCGCCGCTGCCGCTCCCCGCCGAGCTGGGCACGGCGGTGACCAGCGAGCTGGGCGCCAGGCTGGCCCCCGCCTTCCGATGAGCGCCCGGCTCCGGGCGGGCTCGGGGCGCTGCCGCATGGCCGCTGGAATCCCGAGCCCGGCTGGATTCCTGACCCCGGCTGGATTCCCGACCCCGGCTGGATTCCCGACCCCGGCTGGATTCCCGAGCCCGGCTGGAATCCCGAGCCGCCGCTGGATTCCCGAGCCCGGCTGGATTCCCGACCCCGGCTGGATTCCCGATCCCTCGCCGGATTCCCGAGCCGCCGCTGGATTCCCGAGCCCCCGCTGGATTCCCGATCCCTCGCCGGATTCCCGATCCCTCGCCGGATTCCCGAGCCCCCGCTGGATTCCTGACCCCCGCTGGATTCCCGAGCCCCCGCAAGCCGCCCGGAGCCGCCGCGGGCGGCGATGCTGCGGCCGCCGAGGCGCGGCCCTTGTCCCGCATCCCTTGTCCCGCATCCCTTGTCCCGCATCCCTTGTCCCGAGCCCCTTGTCCCGAGCCCCTTGTCCCGCGCCCCTTGTCCCGCGTCCCTTGTCCCGAGCCCCTTGTCCCGAGCCCCTTGTCCCGCGCCCCTTGTCCCGCGTCCCTTGTCCCGCATCCCTTGTCCTGAGCCCCTTGTCCCGCATCCCTTGTCCCGAGCCCCTTGTCCCGAGCCCCTTGTCCCGCATCCCTTGTCCCGAGCCCCTTGTCCCGAGCCCCTTGTCCCGCATCCCTTGTCCTGAGCCCCTTGTCCCGAGCCCCTTGTCCCGCATCCCTTGTCCCGAGCCCCTTGTCCCGAGCCCCTTGTCCCGAGCCCCTTGTCCCGAGCCCCTTGTCCCGCGCCCCTTGTCCTGAGCCCCTTGTCCCGAGCTCCTTGTCCCGCTGCTGCCCGCCCCAGGGGAGCGGACCGGGCTCATCCGCTGCTCCCGCGGTTTGGATCTCGGGGAAATCCTAATTTTGTTGTTTGAGCCTCCAGGCAGCCTGAGCAAATCGGTACCGTGCGTCCTCTGCGTCTGAAAGCACACGAGGACTCCTGTACAGGCCAATCGCCTCATGCAGTGAACTTATTTTTCAAGTGTCCTTAATTTACTTTGGAGCTTTTCTTTTAAGGTCTATGGAAAAGCAATGTAGGTCTGTTTTGGGTGGAAAATGCCTTAAGCCAACAAACACCAAAGATATTAATACTGGGAATCTTGTCGGTTTGTACTTAAAAGTGAATTTATATAGGATTTTTCATACGGGTTATTTTATATTGTTGATGGTTATGTATGTTTGCATACATTCATTGTTAATNGGTTTGTACTTAAAAGTGAATTTATATAGGATTTTTCATACGGGTTATTTTATATTGTTGATGGTTATGTATGTTTGCATACATTCATTGTTAATTGTTCATTGTTAATTCTTATAAACGATGCTGTAATTACTGTGTAAGGATCTCTTCCCTTTTGATTTCAGAGAGAGTAGTTTTTATGCTTTTCTCTCAAAATATAGTCCAGAAACAAGATACACTTCCAATAAGAGTCATGTTTTAAGTTTATGGGAGAGAAGAGTTCAAATACTGTTATGTGAGGAGCAACACTTTTTGTATGTTATATTAATAAAGAGAATTTCCTAAGAATTGCGCCTTCTGAAAGTATTTAAATTATGCCGATGCTTTTCTTGAAAGAAGATACAACTGAAATTCAGTTTTATAGTTGTTATTTTGTAACTTTTATACTTAAAAAGCGATTCTAAGCCTCATACTTAAATTCCACCAGCACAATGAAAACAGTGCTGGAAATACAGTTATATATTCCATTGCCTGGGTACAGTGCTCAGAACTGGAGCCCTGTGGTGGGCCCAGTGCAGGCTGAAACCAGCCCCAGGAGGGGGCTTTTCCTTCGCTGCGGTTTTTGGTGGTAACTTT